AGGGTAAAGTGTGCACGCGAGTACAGTCCACGTACGGTGTGCATGTGAGTGCGGTCCGGGTAGTGTGTGCACGTGAGTACAGTCCGGGTACAGTGTACACATGAGTGCAGTCCGGGTACTGTGTGCACGTGAGTGCAGTCCGGGTAAAGTGTGCAGTGAGTGCAGTCCGTGGTCCGGGTACAGTGTGCACGTGAGTGCAGTCCGGGTAAAGTGTGCACGTGAGTGCAGTCCGGGTACAGTCTGCACGTGAGTGCAGTCCGGGTAAAGTGTGCACGTGAGTGCAGTCCGGGTACAGTGTGCACGTGAGTACAGTCTGGGTAAAGTGTGCACGTGAGTGCAGTCCGGTAAAGTGTGCACGTGAGTACAGTCCGGTAAAGTGTGCACGTGAGTGCAGTCCGGGTAGCAGTGTGCACGTGAGTACAGTCCGGGTAAGAGTGCACGTGAGTACAGTCCGGGTAAAGTGTGCACGTGAGTACAGTCCGGGTAAAGTGTGCACGTGAGTACAGTCCAGGTAAGTGTGCACGTGAGTACAGTCCGGGTAAAGTGAGTGCACGTGAGTACAGTCCGGGTAAAGTCCGTGCACGTGCAGTGCAGTCCGGGTACCGTGTGCACGAGTACAGTCGAGTGCACGTGTGCACGGGTAAAGAGTGCACGTCCAGTCCGGTAAAGTGTGCACGTGAGTGCAGTCTGTCTGAGGGTAAAGTGTGCACGTGAGTACAGTCTACGTACGGTGTGCACGTGAGTGCGTCCGGGTAGCGTGTGCACGTGAGTACAGTCCGGGTAAAGTGTGCACGTGAGTGCAGTCCGGGTAAAGTGTGCTGTGTGCATGTGAGTGCAGTCCGGGTAAAGTGTGCACGTGAGTGCAGTCCGGGTAAAGTGTGCACGTGAGTGCAGTCCGTGTGCAGTCTGCACGTGAGTAAGTCCGGGTACAGTCTGCTTGTGAGTGCAGTCCGGTAAGTCTGCACGTGAGTGCAGTCCGGGTAAAGTGTGCACGTGAGTGTAGTCCGGGTACGGTAGTGAGTGCACGTGAGTACAGTCCGGGTAAAGTGTGCACGTGAGTACAGTCAGGGTAAAGTGTGCACGTGAGTACAGTCCGGGTAAAGTGTGCACGTGAGTACAGTCCACGTACGTGTGCACGTGAGTGCAGTCCGGGTACAGTGTGCACGTGAGTACAGTCCGGGTAAAGTGTGCACGTGAGTGCAGTGCACGTGAGTGCAGTCCGGTAAGCACGTGTGCACGTGAGTGCAGTCCGGGTGCACATGAGTGAGTGCACGGGTAAAGTGAGTACAGTGCACGTGAGGTCCGGGTAAAGTGTGCACGTGAGTGTGCAGTACAGTCCGGGTAAGAGTGCACGTGAGTACAGTCCGGGTAAGGAGTGCACGTGAGTACAGTCCGGGTAAGTGTGCACGTGAGTGTACAGTCAGGGTAAAGTGTGCACGTGAGTACAGTCAGGGTAAAGGTGCACGTGAGTACAGTGCAGTCAGGGTAAAGTGTGCACGCGAGTACAGTCCACGTACGGTGTGCACGTGAGTGCGGTCCGGGTTTTCATAGGTAGCGTGTGCACGTGAGTACAGTCCGGGTAGGTGTGCACGTGAGTACAGTCCGGGTAAAGTGTGCACGTGAGTGCAGTCCGGGTACAGTGTGCACGTGAGTGCAGTCCGGGTAAAGTGTGCACGTGAGTGAGTACAGTCCGGGTATAAAGTGTGCACGTGAGTGACAGTACAGGGTAAGTGTGCACGTGAGTGCACAGTCCGGGTAAGGTGTGCACGTGAGTACAGTCCGGGTAAGTACAGTGCACGTGATGAGTGCTGTCTGGTAAAGGTCCGTGCACGTGAGTGCAGTCCGGGTAACGATGTGCACGTGAGTACAGTTCGGGTAAAGTCCGTGATGCGTGAGTACAGTCCAGGGTAAAGTGTGTACGTGAGTGACAGTCCGGGTACAGTCCGGGTACGGTGTGCACGTGAGTGCAGTCCGGGTACAGTGTGCACGTGAGTGCAGTCCGGGTAAAGGTCCACGGTAGCAGTGCACGTGTGCACGTGAGTGCAGTCCGGGTAAGTGTGCACGTGAGTGCAGTCCGGGTAAAGTGTGCACGTGAGTGCAGTCCGGGTAAAGTGTGCACGTGAGTACAGTCCGGGTAAAGTGTGCACGTGAGTGCAGTCTGGGTACGTGAAGTGTGCACGTGAGTACAGTCCAGGTAAAGTGTGCATGTGAGTACAGTCCGGGTACAGTGTGCACGTGAGTACAGTCCGGGTAAAGTGTGACGTGAGTGAGTAACGTAGTTAAGTGTGCAGTCCCGGGTACAGTGTGCACGTGAGTCAGGGTAAAGTGTGCACGTGAGCAGCAGTCTGCACGGAGTGCAGTCCATGCACGTGAGTGCAGTCCGGGTAAGTGTGCACGTGAGTGTGGAGTAGTGTGTGCACGTGAAAGTCTGCAGTCCGGGTAAGTGTGCACGTGAGTGCAGTCCGGGTAAGTTTGGTGCACGTGAGTGTGCAGGTCCGGTGTGGGTAGTGTGTGCACGTGAGTGCAGTCCGGGTAAGGTGTGCACGTGAGTAGTCCGGTAAAGTGTGCACGTGAGTACAGTCTGGTACAGTGTGCACGTGAGTGCAGTCCGGTACAGTGTGCACGTGAGTGCAGTCCGGGTAAAGAGTGCACGTGAGTGCAGTCCGGGTAAAGGTGTGCACGTGAGTGCAGGTGCCGGGTACAGTCCGGGGTAAGGTGTGCACGTGAGTACAGTCCGGGTAAAGTGTGCACGTGAGTACAGTCCGGGTAAGTGTGCACGTGAGTACAGTCCGAGTAAAGAGTGCACGTGAGTACAGTCCGGGTACACGTGAGTAAAGTGTGCACGTGGTACAGTCCCTGGTACGTGAGTGCAGCAGTCGGGTAAGTGTGCACGTGAGAGTGCAGTCCGGGTAAAGTGTGCACGTGAGTGAGTCCGGGTAAAGTGTGCACGTGAGTGCAGTCCGGGTAAGTACGTGTGCACGTGAGTGCAGTCCGGTAAAGTGTGCACGTGAGTGCAGTCCGGGTGTGCACGTGAGTACAGTCCGAGTAATGTCCACGTGAGTGCAGTCCGTGCACGTGAGTACAGTCCGGAGCACAGTCTGGGTAAAGTGTGCACGTGAGTGTGCACGTGAGTCAGTCCGGTAAAGTGTGCACGTGAGTACAGTCCACGTGGGTAAAGTCCACGTGAGTGCAGTCCGTAAAGTGTGCACGTGAGTGCAGTCCGGGTAAAGTCTGCACGTGAGTACAGTCCGGGTACAGTGTGCACGTGAGTGCAGTCCGGGTAAGAGTGCACGCACGTGAGTGCAGTCCGGGTAAAGTGTGTGACAGTCCGGGTAAGGAGTGCACGTGCAGTACAGTCTGGGTAAGGAGTGTGCACGTGAGTGCAGTCCGGGTAAGTGTGCACGTGAGTGCAGTCCGGGTAAAGTGTGCACGTGAGTGCAGTCCGGGTAGTGCAGTGTGCACGTGAGTACAGTCCGGGTGCAAGTGGTCCACGTGAGTAAGTCTGGGTACAAGTGCACGTGCACGTGAGTGAGTGCAGTCCGGGTACAGTGTGCACGTGAGTACAGTCCGGGGTAAGGAGTGCACGTGAGTGCAGTCCGGGTAAAGTGTGCAGTGTGCAGTCCGGGTAGCGTGTGCACGTGAGTGTCCGAGTAGAGTGTGCACGTGAGTGCAGTTCGGGTAAAGAGTGCACGTGAGTACAGTCTGGGTAAGGAGTGCACGTGAGTACAGTCCGGGTAAGGAGTGCAAGTGAGTACAGTCCTGGTAAGGAGTGCACGTGAGTGCAGTCCGGGTAAAGTGTGCACGTGAGTACAGTCCGGGTAAGAATGTGCACGTGAGTACAGTCCGGGTAAGTAGTGTAGTACGGGTAAAGAGTGTGCACGTGAGTGCAGTCCGGGTAAAGAATGAACTTGTGATCCGTGCAATATATAATTTGTGCATAATTCATATCTAAATAATCCTCAGACTTGTCTGCATAATAATATACTCGCGGGTGGACTATCGCTTGTGCAGATGGAAAGTTTATGGACCAGAATATGAATTATGAAAGATGTGTTCTCCAGTTTAGGGGTTCCGCCTGACGATCCCTCCCTAAACAGGGGATTGGTCTTTTACTTCAGAACCACCCCCTGCTGGGAACCTTTGCAGGCTGTCAAGCCTAAGAAAGTTTAGTTGAAGACATCTCCCAATTTTAACATCAATATACCACCTGGGGAGACCGATGCCTTTCGCTCTGAAACGTGATCTGCTTAATCCAAGGCTAAATGGCAAGTAACTTAACCCTTTAACTCTCCCTGTTATCTCTTTGCTGTGCTGTGTTGTTTCTGTACATGTGTGTATATATATATAAATCTTAGTTACATCTTCTCTGTAAATATTTTTATTGCACCTGTTTGACCCTTTTAGTAATAAATCTCTCTTTCTGAAAGTGTTGAACTGTTTCTATACCTCTTACTTGCAATTTACGAATCCCTGCCTTTAAAGAGACGCTACTGTTTTAACCCTCTGTATAACAGGCCTATATTATGACCAGGTTATGCAGTCGATTATATCAACCATTATAGTGTTATAGCTGAACGCCGAGTTTCCTCTTTCTCTGATCAAAAAGGAGGTGGTGGCAGTGTGAAGGGGTTAATTGCGTAATTAACCTGACCCAGTAATAATCGATTCAGGCTGCTGGCACATTGATCGGTACCCATTAGCTGGAAAATCGTTGTGCAGGGTGCAGCTGGGTGTGGCATTGTTACACATGTCACATCACAGTTGTAGATCGGTTAGCCCTTCGGTCACGAGTTTGGTGAGAAGGTCTGACGCCACGATCGTGACAGTGAGTATAGTCCGGGTAAGGTGTGCACGTGAGTACAGTCCGCGTAAAGTGTGCACGTGAGTGCAGTCCGGGTACAGTGTGCACGTGAGTACACTCCAGGTACAGTGTGCATGCGAGTACAGTCCGGGGTACAGTGTGCACGTGAGTACAGTCCGGGTGAGGTGTGCACGTGAGCAGGGGTGGACTGACCATTTGGAAACTCGGGCACTGTCTTAGGGCCCGGGGTCAGTAGGGGGCCCCATGAGATGCCCCTGGTACCTTTTTTCATAGGCTTTTTTGAGTTTGGGCAAGGACACAGGGGCCCCATGATCCCCTATTGCCCGGGGGCCCCATGAGTTGTCAGTCCGCCCCTGCACGTGAGTACAGTCTGGGTACAGTGTGCACGTGAGTGCAGTCCGGGTAAGGTGTGCACGTGAGTGCAGTCCGGGTAAAGGGTGCACGTGAGTGCAGGCCGGGTAAGGTGTGCACGTGAGTACAGTCCGGGTAAGGTGTGCACGTGAGTGCAGTCCGGGTAGAGTGTGCACGTGAGTGCAGTCCGAGTATGGTGTGCACGTGAGTACAGTCCGGGCAAAGTCTGCACGTGAGTGCCGTCCGAGTAAAGTGTGCACGTGAGTACAGTCCGGGTAACGTGTGCACGTAAGTGCAGTCCGGTTAAAGTGTGCACATGAGTGCAGTCCGGGTAACGTGTGCACGTGAGTACAGTCTAGGTAAAGTCTGCACGTGAGTACAGTCCGGATGCGATGTGCACGTGAGTGCAATCCGGGTACAGTGTGCACGTGAGTGCAGTCCGGGTACAGTGTGCACGTGAGTGTAGTCCGGGTGCAGTCTGCACGTGAGTGCAGTCCGGGTAAAGTGTGCACATGAGTGCAGTCCGGGTAAAGTCTGCACGTGAGTGCAGTCCGGGTACAATCTGCACGTGAGTGCAGTCCGGGTACAGTGTGCACGTGAGTGCAGTCTGGGTACAGTGTGCACGTGAGTGCAGTCCGGGTAAAGTGTGCACGTGAGTGCAGTCCGGGTAAAGTGTGCACGTGAGTGCAGTCCGGGTAAAGTGTGCACGTGAGTGCAGTCCGGGTAAGGTGTGCACGTGAGTACAGTCCGGGTAAAGTGTGCACGTGAGTACAGTCTGGGTAAAGTGTGCACGTGAGTACAGTCCGGGTACAGTGTGCACGTGAGTGCAGTCCGGGTAAGATGTGCACGTGAGTACAGTCCGGGTAAAGTGTGCACGTGAGTACAGTCCGGGTAAGGTGTGCACGTGAGTACAGTCCACGTACAGTGTGCACGTGAGTGCAGTCCAGGTACAGTGTGCACGTGAGTGCAGTCCAGGTACAGTGTGCACGTGAGTGCAGTCCGGGTAGAGTGTGCACGTGAGTACAGTCCGGGTAAAGTGTGCACTTGAGTGCAGTCCGGGTGAGTGTGCACGTGAGTGCAGTCCGGTAGCGTGTGCACGTGACTGCAGTCCGGGTACGTGTGCACGTGAGTGCAGTGCGGGTAACAGTGTGCACGTGAATGCAGTCCGGGTACAGTGTGCACGTGAGTGCAGTCCGGGTACAGTCTGCACGTGAGTACAGTCCGGGTAAAGTGTGCACGTGAGTGCAGTCCGGGTACAGTGTGCACGTGAGTGCAGTCCGGGTACAGTCTGCACGTGAGTACAGTCCGGGTAAAGTGTGCACGTGAGTGCAGTCCGGGTAAAGTGTGCACGTGAGTGCAGTCCGGGTAAAGTGTGCACGTGAGTGCAGTCCGGGTAAAGGTGTGCACGTGAGTACAGTCTGGTAAAGTAAAGTGTGCACGTGAGTACAGTCCGGGTAAAGTGTGCACGTGAGTACAGTCCGGGTAACGTGTGCACGTGAGTACAGTCTGGGTAAAGTCTGCACGTGAGTAAAGTCCGGGTATGCGATGTGCACGTGAGTGCAGTCCGGGTACAGTGTGCACGTGAGTGCAGTCCGGGTACAGTGTGCACGTGAGTGCAGTCAGGGTACAGTGTGCACGTGAATGCAGTCAGGGGTGCAGTCTGCACGTGAGTGTAGTAAGGGTAAAGTGTGCACGTGAGTGCTGTCCGGATAAAGTGTGCACGTGAGTGCAGTCCGGGTAAAGTGTGCACGTGAGTGTAGTCCGGGTAAGTCTGCACGTGACTACAGTCCGGGTACGGTGTGCACGTGAGTACAGTTCGGGTACAGTGTGCACGTGAGTGCAGTCCGGTAAGATGTGCACTTGAGTACAGTCTGGGTAAAGTGTGCACGTGAGTACAGTTCGGGTACAGTGTGCACGTGAGTGCAGTCCGGTAAGATGTGCACTTGAGTACAGTCTGGGTAAAGTGTGCACGTGAGTACAGTCCGGGTAAGGTGTGCACGTGAGTACAGTCCACGTACAGTGTGCACGTAAGTGCAGTCCAGGTACAGTGTGCACGTGAGTGCAGTCCAGGTACAGTGTGCACGTGAGTGCAGTCCGGGTAGAGTGTGCACGTGAGTACAGTCCGGGTAAAGTGTGCACGTGAGTACAGTCCGGGTAACGTGTGCACGTGAGTACAGTCCGGGTGAGGTGTGCACGTGAGTTCAGTCTGGGTAGCGTGTGCACGTGACTGCAGTCCGGGTACGGTGTGCACGTGAGTGCAGTGCGGTTGACGAGTGCACGTGAGTGCAGTCTGGGTAAGGGGTGCACATGAGTGCAGTCCGGGTACAGGGTGCACGTGAGTGCAGTCCGGGTAATTTTTGCACTTGAGTGCAGTCTGGGTATAGGGTGTGCACGTGAGTGCAGTCCGGGTAAGGTAAGTGTGCACGTGAGTGCAGTCCGGGTAAGATGTGCACTTGAGTACAGTCTGGGTAAAGTGCACGTGAGTACAGTTCGGGCACAGTGTGCACGTGAGTGCAGTCCGGGTAAGATGTGCACGTGAGTGCAGTCTGGGTAAAGAGTGCACGTGAGTACAGTCCGGGTAATGTGTGCACGTGAGTGCAGTCCGGGTACAGTCTGCACGTGAGTACAGTCCGGGGAAAGTCTGCACGTGAATGCAGTCCGGGTACAGTCTGCACGTGAGTACAGTCCGGGTAAAGTGTGCACGTGAGTGCAGTCCGGGTAAAGTGTGCACGTGAGTGCAGTCCGGGTAAAGTGCACATGACACAGTGGGTACAGTGTGCACGTGAGTACAGTTCGGGTACAGTGTGCACGTGAGTACAGTCCGGGTAAAGTGTGCACTTGAGTACAGTCTGGGTAAAGTGTGCACGTGAATGCAGCCTGGGTACAGTCTGCACGTGAGTACAGTCCGGGTAAAGTGTGCACGTGAGTGCTGTCCGGTAAAGTGTGCACGTGAGTGCAGTCCGGGTAAAGTGTGCACGTGAGTGTAGTCCGGGTAAGGTCTGCACGTGACTACAGTCCGGGTACGGTGTGCACGTGAGTACAGTTCGGGTACAGTGTGCATGTGAGTGCAGTCTGGGTAAGATGTGCACTTGAGTACAGTCTGGGTAAAGTGTGCACGTGAGTACAGTTCGGGTACAGTGTGCACGTGAGTGCAGTCCGGGTAAGATGTGCACTTGAGTACAGTCTGGGTAAAGTGTGCACGTGAGTACAGTCCGGGTAAGGTGTGCACGTGAGTACAGGTCCACGTACAGTGTGCACGTAAGTGCAGTCCAGGTACAGTGTGCACGTGAGTGCAGTCCAGGTACAGTGTGCACGTGAGTGCAGTCCGGGTAGAGTGTGCACGTGAGTACAGTCCGGGTAAAGTGTGCACGTGAGTACAGTCCGGGTAAAGTGTGCACGTGAGTACAGTCCGGGTGAGGTGTGCACGTGAGTGCAGTCTGGGTAGCGTGTGCACGTGACTGCAGTCCGGGTACGGTGTGCACGTGAGTGCAGTGCGGTTGACGAGTGCACGTGAGTGCAGTCTGGGTAAGGGGTGCACATGAGTGCAGTCCGGGTAAGGGTGCACGTGAGTGCAGTCCGGGTAAGGTGTGCACGTGAGTGCAGTCCGGGTAAGGTGTGCACGTGAGTGCAGTCCGGGTAAGTGTGCACGTGAGTGCAGTCCGGGTAAGATGTGCACTTGAGTACAGTCTGGGTAAAGTGTGCACGTGAGTACAGTTCGGGCACAGTGTGCACGTGAGTGCAGTCCGGGTAAGATGTGCACGTGAGTGCAGTCTGGGTAAAGAGTGCACGTGAGTACAGTCCGGGTAATGTGTGCACGTGAGTGCAGTCCGGGTACAGTCTGCACGTGAGTACAGTCCGGGGAAAGTCTGCACGTGAATGCAGTCTGGGTACAGTCTGCACGTGAGTACAGTCCGGGTAAAGTGTGCACGTGAGTGCAGTCCGGGTAAAGTGTGCACGTGAGTGCAGTCCGGGTAAAGTGTGCACGTGAGTACAGTCCGGGTACAGTGTGCACGTGAGTACAGTCCGGGTACAGTGTGCACGTGAGTACATAGTCCGGGTAAGTGTGCACTTGAGTACAGTCCAGGTAAAGTGTGCACGTGAGTGCAGTCTGGGTACAGTCTGCACGTGAGTACAGTCCGGGTAAAGTGTGCACGTGAGTGCTGTCCAGGTAAAGTGTGCACGTGAGTGCAGTCCGGGTAAAGTGTGCACGTGAGTGCAGTCCGGGTAATGTCTGCACGTGACTTCAGTCCGGGTACAGTGTGCACGTGAGTACAGTTCGGGTACAGTGTGCACGTGAGCATAGTCCGGGTAAGATGTGCACTTGAGTACAGTCTGGGTAAAGTGTGCACGTGAGTACAGTCCGGGTAAGGTGTGCACGTGAGTACAGGTCCACGTACAGTGTGCACGTGAGTGCAGTCCAGGTACAGTGTGCACGTGAGTACAGTCCGGGTAGACTGTGCACGTGAGTACAGTCCGGGTAAAGTGTGCACGTGACTACAGTCCCGGGTAATGTGTGCACGTGAGTACAGTCCGGGTGAGGTGTGCACGTGAGTGCAGTCCGGATAGCGTGTGCACGTGACTGCAGTCCAGGTACGATGTGCACGTGAGTGCAGTCCGGGTAGACGTGTGCACGTGAGTGCAGTCCGGGTAAAGGGTGCACGAGTACAGTCCGGGTACAGGGTGCACGTGAGTGCAGTCCGGGTAATTTGTGCACGTGAGTACAGTCTGGGTGAAGTCTGCACGTGTACAGTCTGGGTGAAGTCTGCACGTGAGTGCAGTCTGGGTGCAGTCTGCACGTGAGTACAGTCCGGGTAACGTTTGCACATGAGTGCAGTCCGGGTAACGTGTGCACGTGAGTGCAGTCCGGGTACAGTCTGCACGTGAGTACAGTCCGGGGAAAGTCTGCACGTGAGTGCAGTCTGGGTAAAGTGTGCACGTGAGTGCAGTCCGGGTAATGTCTGCACGTGAGTGCAGTCCGGGTACGGTGTGCACGTGAGTGCAG